CCAAATTGAAATTCTCTAAGATGAATAAGAAATATTTCGACACTAATACATAATTCAATTTATAAATATAAATAAATTAAACGTTAAGAGGTAGACAGAGGTAACAGATTTACATATGCGACATTACCACACTTTTCCGTTTTTATCATATCCTTAGATTTTTTTGTATTATTTATTTTATTTCAGTTATTCATATAATGTGTCTGTTACAGGTTTCGTATGCACCCATCAAGCTAGCTAAACACAAGGGGGTACAGCAACCCTGATGCCAAAGGTGAATATTTTTTTATGAAAAATTCAGGACAACTAAGACTTATTGACTATTATCAAATAATTTTATTAAATAGAAAAATGGCAGTATTTAAAATATACATTTTTAATTAAAGTTTTTAAATTTATTTATATTTGAATTATGATCTAATTTTCCGAAAATTTTTGCAAAATGTCTTTTTTTATTTATTCGACGATAAATTACAAAATCTGTATCATACATATGTACTACAAGTGCTATAGATTATTAAAAAAGCAATATACATTTAAAATATCGTAGACTTACTCCAAATATTGAAATTAAGAAACAAAAACATGAAATAACAAATAAAAACAATAAAAGACTATTTTAAAGCTAGTAAAAGACACATTCTCTTCTCTTATTGTAAGATAATAATGATTTAGAAGAAAAAAAAACACGCAAATCGTAAATTCGTCTTCGCTGAGCATTATTCAAGTGTATGTCAAACCGCAAGCCCTGCGTCGACCTGCGCCGAATAAATATCGGTAAGGTCGCACCTTGACTTATCTCACGGGTCCCGTACATTCAACACTCCGGTAATTTCATTTGTAAGAGACAAATATTGGATTGTGTGAATAAACTTTTACCGTGGGCTTACAATGACGGAATCATTTGGATAAATTACATTTTTTTATCCCAATATAACTGTTTTTTTAGATGACAATGTTTTTATATAGGTGGAAGCTCACGATTAATTGTCGTAATAGACAAATATCAAATTTACGCATAGAATTTTTCATAAACAGAAAATGAGTTAATTCCTTCAAGGAACCCTAACATGGGATAAACATATCCATCGCATAAACCAGAATTGGCACACCCCATGCTCCATTTTAATGTATTTTTTCCTTAAAACATTTTTTTTGCTTTAAAAATACCAAGGAAATATCGAGGCTGGCGTTATATTTATTTGGTCTCACATCGCGGCCACCATATTTCACCTCGATGCCTCCCGCGTCCCGCCCTCTGAATTATTTATATTATCGCTATAGAAAGAAATACGTTTTGTTATCTCGGATTTAGTCGAAGACACTAAAATTAACTACATTTGTTACGCATGATAGATGTTAAACTATTTATCAATCGTTTTATCAGACATGTTAACGCCATCTTGATTTATTATACAATTTTGGCGGGAAACCATTGCAAATAATTTCCCGGCGTATTTGGTTTTAGTGTTAAAATTGTTCTTTCGATCTCTTTTTGTTTTGACCGTCGACTGACCAATGCCAAAATGGTCGATAAAAGGGAATGTGGGGAGAAATGAATTGTCAAAAAAATCGTTCCCGCCACAAAATGGCGCCGCAACATTCCTTTGAAAGTCCTGGCCGGCAACAGGAAAGGAAGGGCCCGAGGGATTTAATTATCGAATCTTAGGCGACGCTTCTCGAACAAAGAAGTTAATTTATTTAACCGCTCGGTTAACAACGCCATCTGGCGGGAATGGAATCGCCACTTACAATAATGTTTCCATCGAAAAGTTTTAATACTGTCTAAACATTTGGGAGATGAAGTTTTTGATGTTGGCCATTCAGTGAAAGAGTTTTTGTCATGATTTTAAAAATGGAATTCATGGAAGCTGTATGATGAATTAATTATATAAATATATATTTTTAAAAATCAGAAGCTGAATTTCTTTTAATGTTACATTTGCAGTGATTTTCCTCAAGACATCTTGGCTCTATTAAAGTCAGCCTCTGTGTCAGTTACGTTTTCAATTGAATTTGCTACGAGTTACATTTTAATTGGCTGTCGTATTCAAATCTTGTGGATTTTCCATCTCACATTTTTATATCTTTTGTTAAGGAGACTTTTCTCTGATAGCAAATTCTTTGTGGTTTTATGTGACTTTTATACATATTTTATATAAAATTACTGCCTTACTACACTAGTAATTATTTAACAATTGTTAGTAATTAGTCAGTCTAGTAAATGGAAAATCTGAAAGATAAAAGGCCATTGTAATTTTTTTTCACTTTTAATTTAAAAGTCTGATTTTGTCTATGGTCCATTGAAAGCGGATTTGATTGGTCCGTCGCCGGCGTTGGCGGGGACGACCGCAATAAAGAGCGTCTGTTACGTCTGAAACAAAATGATTTAATCATTGTCTTTTATCTTCATTCCTTTTTGGTTTTCCATCTTTTATGTCTTTGTTGGTCGCATCAAAAGACGTTGCTATAATTTATATTGCATTATTCGATATTCGGAAATATTTTCAAGCATTATCACATACGTGAAATAATCTTATAAAATCCAATTTTATTATTATTTTCATTGAAAGTTAAACAATAGTTTTCCTATATACGATTAGATTATTGAATTTATATTTATCTACACTATTATAATATTATAAAGAAGAAAGATTTGTATTTTTGTATGTATTGATATAACTCAAAAACTACTGGGCCGATTTTAAAATTTCTTTCACCATTGGAATGATAATTTATCTGTAAGTACCATGGCTATATTTGTATTATTACACGCGGGCGAAGTCGTGAGCAACAGCTAATATAATAACTTTGTCGACATCTTAACATATTGTTTGTTTACAGATGAGAGTGGCGACAGCGGCTGCGTGCGTGGCGCTACTCGCTTTCAACTATGCTGCCCTGGTAGCTGGGGATGGTATGTACTTTACTATAACCCATTCACACTGCCGAAACAAACACAAAAACATATATCATCTCTACGATAACAAAAGACAAATATAGCAATATATTGTGTTTCAAAAATGGAAACTCGAGTTGTGTAGATGCTTTGTTCTTGAATGTTTTTTAACTAAAGTAAGGCAGGCAACTAAAAAAGGCAACTAAAAAATTCTTGCACAATTAAAAAGCTACGTTATCACTGAATAAAATAGGCTATTTTTTTAACTCTACGCGAACGACGTCGCGAGCAACAGCTAGTATCAAATATCATGCAAGTCGACTCGAGATCTTAGGTCCATAATGTGTATTTTTGTATGTTTTATATGATTAATTTTCGATATCAATCTTCAAGATGTTTTACTAAATCCAGCGGCGGCCAACAAAAGCGGACTCCCCCATTGTGAGTCGACGACGAGTAAGTTGTTACCAAATGAATTGTTTGAACAATACATCATTCCAATCTGCCGATGGCCGACCTCTTTTAGTTTGGCCGAAATGTCAGCAAATAAAGTTAATGGATCTCTTCGCTCGAGACACACGGACGTTTAAGTTAACAAACATACAGAACTCTGGAATTAAAATTTCAAAAACCACATACAAAATTGTTATTTTTATTTGTTAAGTTAAATAAAGTATTAGGTACTCGTCCCAAAAGTTAACAAATAATTCTACCAATAAAATATTTGTTTAACTTTAAAGGTTAGATACAGATTGTTAAAATTACAATTTAATTTGCATCTTAAATGAAATGTTGTAAACGAAAAATTCTAATGTTTGTACTTTAGACTTAAATTCGTATATCGTCAAACTTGTCGACTGTATGTCAGAGAAATAGCAAAGTTACTCTGCTTCTGTTAATTACTTTGCAAACATTATGGAGCGACTACAGCAAAGTTTAATAACAAATATTGATATACGAGTAAAATATACGAGAAATTATAACGTTTTCATATCAATTACAAAGGGTATTACCAAGGAAATTTTGTTTATTCTGACGAATGTTCACTTTTGAATGAATAATAATGAGTTTTAATTGAATTACATAACACTAAATTACAGTATGTTGTGACTTTCCCAACCACGACAGGAGGTAGATAACATAACGCACAGAACTGCAATTATATTAAACTAATTAAACAACAACATAATTAATCGCATAATAACACGGATAGGTCGTCGCAGCGTAGGTAGGCCTCCCGCAAGATGGACCGATGACTTGGTCAAGGTTGCGGGAGTGCACTGGATGCGGGCGGCACAGGACCGGGCATTGTGGCAATCAATGGAATGGACGACCTATGGCTGACAATGATGATAACTAACTCCTATTTAAATGTTTAATAAAGTTTTAATAATTAAATTACATTGACGTTAATCGCCATTTGAGACAGCAGTGTGTAAAATAAGAAAACAAAAGTAGTATCGCCGCGGATGAGTCCTTTCTTACCGAGACTTAAAGCCACTTATAACCCTTAACTAGAGTTGGTAAGGACCATGCATATATGTACACTAAGTAATCTAAACCATGATGCTCTAATGAGATAAATAAAATTAAATAGGGTAATCTTATTTCTTACTAATATTATAAATGCGAAAGTTTAGATGAATGGATGTTTGTTAGAGCTTGTAGCCTAAACTGCTGAACAGATTTCAATGAAATTTGGTATAGATGTAGAGGATAGTCTGGAAGAACACATAGACTACTCATTTTTTGTTTTATGCCACTTGGACGGAGTCACCAGTTAAAGCTAGTAAATACTAATAAGTGTAATATGAAAGTTATTTAACTATATTTTCGATATCAACAGAAATTATAAATCTCTCCGAATAAGGTCGAATTTTATCAACAATGTACGATATGTGATAAAGCATAGCAATATTAACGTTTTCTTCAAAATAACTTTTAACGAATACCAACGGTAGCCTTTTGTGAGCGATTATTATAACTTGGCATTCCAGTTTGAAAACTCAACCCTCTGAAATATAAATCACATTAATTTGTACGTGAAGTTTCGTTCATTACTCGTACATACGATATGCCTACAAACTCATGGGAAATGAACTCTTATATGTAAATGTTTCAAAACGTCAGTCACAAAGTTTTGAACCCTTTAATGGACTAAAATTATCTACTGCGTCAAACTTGTAAACTCAATGTTTAAAAGTAAAACACAGACGATGGTCTAAGCCAGGTGTAAGGTGGGGCTCCTTAAATATAATAAAAGCCATAGCCTATATTTCTCACTGATGACGTAGCTTTTTCATGGTGAAAGATTTGAAATCGGTCCAGTAATTTATGAGTTATTTCAATACATACAAATATTCAAAAATACAAATCTTTCCTCTTTATAATATTATTATAAATGAGTCCTAATACTTTTTATATCTATTTTACATTTTCAGAATCACGAGTACATACACATGAATTTAGTTCTTTTGCATATAGTTAAACACGCCTGCACAGGAAGATTAACTTGTTTGCTACTGTTGTATTACTGATTTAAGTATGGTTCTATTGTCCTTTCTATATCTTTGTTTAGAAGCGAAAGCGGATTCCGTGGAGAGCGCGAGCGAGTCCACGGGATCATCACAAGAGGAGGGCGAGTGGGTACCTAAGGAGGCGTGGATGCGGGCGCCGGCGGGCGGCGTGGCTGTGCGCAGCGGCGAGGACGCACTGCTGACGTGCGTGGTACTCGGCGCGCGCGGCCGCCCAGTCCTGTGGAAGCGTGCCCGAGATCTGCAGCTGCTGACTGCGGGGGGCGTTAGAGTTACAAGGGACGACAGGGTGCGAGTGCTGCATGATGACTGTAAGTTACCTAAGACGATACAAAAAAAAAACAAGAAATAAACAACAATAAAGTCTTTATGATGTAAAATTTAGTATAGATCATACTAATATTATAAATACGAAAGTTTAGATGGATGGATGTTTGTTAGCGGTTGTAGCCTAAACGACTGAACAGGTCTCGAAATTTGGCATAGACGTAGAGGATAGTCCGGAAGAAGACACAACATACTCACTTTTATTTTTAATCTCACGCGGACGGAGTCGCGTGCGAAATCTTGTGTGAAATAAAGTATAAATAGTATTGAAAAACATATAAACTACTATGAGTGTGGAGGTACACCGGTAGAGGTAGACCTAGAAAGAGATGGCTGGATTGCGTAAAAGGACATCATCAAAAGGGAGTGATGATTGAGATGCCATATGATAGTTATGTGGAGGACAAAAACCTGTTGCGCCGACACTACGGGAGTTTGATAAGAGGAAGATGATGATAGAGTACTATGTACGTTTTAATTCCACGCAGGTTAGCTGCCGCGCATGTAATACAGACGGCCTTTGCATATTATGCAACAAAAACCATTTGAATTAATCGTTGAAGAAACATTTGAGGTTAATAGATCAAATTATCGATTTAGGTGATCAGCGAAGCGCGGAATGTAGTTCATTGAATCCTTCTGCTGTGTAAAAACACTACAGCAATATCTAGCCTCGATGCGAACACATTACTAAATTACACGCAACCCAATTAATATTTCCACGTCTAATTGGGACATGTAAACCAATTAGTGTGATGTTCTTTCAAAAATCTCAGAGGTTGTTTTACATTTATGCTATGTAGAAAATTTTTATCTCCTTACAAATGTTCTGCGCATTATAATCTACATGTTAAGTTGATTTTGAATAAACGAGCATAGTATAGTCGGGCTTATATGACCCTACACGAAATGTTTTTTTCCTTAATTGTATTATCGAATGACCTAAGAAATCTACGCCTATGAATAGAGTGATTTTTGTTTTCCATCAATTATTTTTTTATTTAAAACTACAACCAACAAAAGGTACACTTTACTTTCTCGCCACGTTCCCTCTTTGTGGAGCGATCTCAGAATTTTATCACGCATTTTCAGTAATAAGTGTTTTGCCTATAAACTTAACGAGTACAGCCAGATTTACTGCCTGTAAGCGAAAAGCATTTTTATTTCCTTCGTCAGAAGTATCTTATTTCTTCGACAGCTCTCTTCTGATTACAACTGTATAGTGATTGAAGATTTAATGTCTACTACATTTTTGTAAGCAACGTTCGCTTTAAGGGAAAAAGCTTGCTTTTAAGTCTTATTGTGTCTTTTACTTCGGTCTTAATTTGTTATACGGAGTATTTTCTAACTAGAATACTTGGAAAGCTAAGACGTAGTTACTTATCTTAAAAAGCTATTTTAAAATTTATTGGAGAGTTTTTATACCACCTATGCATAAAAGAGAACTTTGCATTCACGCACGAATGCACATTTAAGATAAATAAATAGAAAATATCATTTAAGCCTGTTTACTAGTTTAAAATAAACATTAATTTCTAAACCAATAAGCTCTAATTCCACTGACAGCGGAAGAGCCTATCAAAGGTCCAGGCATCAGGAAAGGTGGCGACGTGTGGGCGCTAGTCATCAAGTCGGTGAAGCCTTCGGACGCTGGACTCTACATGTGTGAGCTTAACACGGAACCACCTGTCAGAAGTTTCCATCGACTTACTGGTAAGATATGCTCCAAGAGGAGGTGAGGAGAAATTCTTTTATTTCACCTTTCGATCAATGTTAAGGTTTTAGTCAAATTGACTTACCTAAACTGGTCTAAGTAGATGCAAAGTAGTGATATTCACAAGCAAAAGTTAGGAATAAGTGTGCTTTTATACCCTGAACAGTGTTAGTTAATTCATATTTTATTCCCAGTAATATCCCGCGGTCTAACACCACCGGAGAATCAGAATACAACAGACACGTACTCCGCCAACATTCCAACGCTATCGTCACTAGCATTGGCACACAACTACACGGAGTGCTGCCTGGCCGCCAACGTCAGCACCAGCTGCCTCGGCTTCTGCAGCATTCAGACCATCCTCGAAGGCACCGGCCAAGACCCTGAGCTCTGCCAGCCAGACTTCCCTGCTATAGTCAAGTGAGACTTTAATTAATTCCGTTTCATGATCATTCAAAATATAGAGTAAGGATTTAAAGAGGGTTCTAATATTATTGTTAAGCTTTTGAAGTTACCTTTCAGTCTAAGTAACGTTTTACATAGCTGTATCTTATAACAGGATCTCGAGCATAGCTGAAGCCGAATATACAATTGTAATGTTTCGTAATGTTCCGTCAAAATCATGATTTATCAATTGTTAATACAAATGTCTGTTAAAATCCACTAAAACAGTCTAAAATAACTAGATAAAAAAAGAATGCCATTATCAGATGCATGGCGGATGGCCGCAACCATGTGCCGTGCTGCGTGCAGGAGCGAGTGCCGGACATCTGCCAGGATGTGTGTCGCGGAGAGTTCACACCCGTTACTGACAACATCAAGACTCATTACTCCTGCGCCACTTACATGGAGAAGACGCTAGCCTGCATCGTCGAGGGTATTGGTAAGTTAAAACAGAAAATCTAGCAATTCTGTTAGGAATAAGGAAAACATAATTTAAAGCAGATAACTTGCTAGAAAAAACATAAATCAATTGTGATTTGCGCTGCAAAAGACTCTGTAACACACACAACAAAAGACTAAAAGCAAAAAAAAAAAGAAACTATAGACGAGGGCACCTGTGACTACAACTTATAAACATATGCAGAGTAAAGAAATCGATTGTACAATAAAATTTTGTTTCAGAACTGCTGCCAAGTCCACCAGAAGATGTGGAAGTTGAGCCGCTCAACGAGAAACAACTGAACGTATCGTGGAGCCCGCCCGTAGAGAACTCAGATACGGTCACAGAGTATATAGTCAATGTGACCACTCTGCGCTCATTCGATGCCCATCTCATAGACCCCTCTGAGAGTTCGATAAAGAGTAACGAGACAAAAACCAGCCAGTCGATGGCGTATAAAGTTCAAGCGAATAAAACCTCCTTTATCGTGAACGACTTGCTTCCATTCACGATGTATGAGGTCACAGTGACCTCGTTCAATATTCACGGCTCCAGTCTACCGAGCTACAGTGTAAGGTAGGTTTGATTTGAATAGAAACTTTCAATTTGAATGGTTTAAATAAGAAACTAAGATGAAATAGTGTGCAAGAGTTCCTACATTTTTAATACACAATTCTGTCAAAAACTTAAACCTCAGATCTCGGCGACTTACCTAAAGACAAATTATTCCAATCGTCCACCCTAAATGTACTCAGATCACTAACCCTGACTCCCGGCAAGATGAAGACCACGCAAGTAGCACCAGCCCCCAAGCTGCCTGACGTCAGAGGGTGCTGCATCTCAGCGGGGGTCAATCATTACGGCTGTGTAGAGAAGCTATGCGACCCCACAAAGACGTATGAAATTGATGTGAGTTAGAAGACTGCAAAATGCTCTAAATACACGTCTCTCTTTCTTTCCCAAGGAAATCTTCTATCGTTCTTGCTTCTTCTTAAATATGTGTTCATAAGTCATTTACAATCGTTGCACAATTTTGAGGTTTTCGATTTGCAATTCATTTGTCTTTCATCTTTATTTATAACTAGCTGTTTCCATGCGACTTCATCTGCATAAAATTATACAAAATTCATTTTATTGTTCACATTTGTCAAATTATCAATAGCAAATGTCGAAATGACGTGACATGACAAACCTTAGCAATCTTTCTTTGTTGATGTTAGCAGCAACTTATGGTCTCTTTCCCACATTAGGGTTTTTATCCAAAATATTTACCCCTAACTTTAACGGTGAGATAATATATAGCCTAAAGCGTGACGTAAGTGTAGGGCTTTTTATTAAAAAACGAGTTATTCGAAAATATGCTGTGATTGTTGACATCTTAGGCAACAAAGAAGTGTGTGTTTACGCTTTATTATAATATATTATAGATTATAGATACAGGTTATAATTTGGTTGGTGTTTAACTTTAAAACAATTTTATCGTAAATTCTGATTTTAAGATGTTACTATTCTCAAATTGTTGGAACAATGTAATCTTTAGCGATGCGAATACAATAGTCTTAACTGTTCTAATATTGATGAAATACCCCCTTGAGAATCTCACGGTCGGTGAGACCATGAATGCTGATAATCGAATTAAATAATTCGTAATAAAACTGACTGCGAATCTAGTATACCAATTCATTTCAGATACAATCCATAATAAGAAAATGCAAAACCATTTATGCTGGGTTTCTGAAGTTACCACTTAAATTATCATTACCTAGTGATTTAGGTTCAGCTGAATTTCAAAGCAATAATACTCAAGTTATGTAGTTCGGAAACGCATTTCATGAATTTATCGAACCAAAAACATTATAATTAAACGTTGGGAAACCGGCCAATTATATTCATTTATTTTTAAAGCACATCTTAATTCGCACATTGTCTGTTGAAATGTAAACTAACAAACCACGTTTTATACATGATGCATCGCACATCAGTGACTAACAGATGATGAGTTGGTTCCGTTTGTAACGCGTAGCTGCAGGTGACAGACCTGATGATCTGCGCGCCCTGGGCCGGCGCCACCTTCGGCTGCCTCGCCAACGGCATGGACCACACGCCGTGCTGCCGCGCGCGCGGCCTGCCCGCGCCCTGCCTGCCGCTCTGCAGCGGGAACATCACCACACTAGACTTCAATCACTTCAAGTTAGTCAACTTACATTTGTTCTCATTTTTTCTACTTAATTTGTAATTAAAATTACCTTTGTACACTCAAGTAAATCCAACGATATATCTAATTCATCCCTTGTTTATTATTTACTAACTTTTGCCCACGACTCCGCCCGCGTAAAATTTAAGGAAAATGATAATGAAGTGACAAAATATAGCCTATATTAATCACAGATAAATTACCTTTCTAACGGCAAAGGAATTTTTAAAATCGGCCCAGTAGTTTTTGAGCCTATTCATTACAATCAAACGAACAAAATTTTTCTCGTTATAATCATACTAATACTAATATTATAAATGCGAAAGTTTAGATTGATGGATGGATGTTTGTTAAAATTTGTGGCCGTAACGGCTGAACGGATTTGGATGAAATTTGGCATAGATGTAGAAAATAATCTGGAAAACACATAGGCTACTTGCGTTTGTTTTTCTTTTAATTTCACGCGAACGAAGTCGCGGGCGAAAGCTAGTATTTTATAATTAAGATATGTAAAACTTTACACTCATCAAACAATTAGGTGCCTCCGCTATATGAGCTCGTACACGAACTGCCTGCTGCAAGGGTACGGCGTGCTGCCGGGCGCGCCCACCAGGCTGCACCTCACCAACATCGACACGGACTACGCCGTGGTGCACTGGGCGCCGCCCGCCGCGCTGCCCGACACCGTGCAGCACTACAACCTGCACTACAAGGCACTCGCGCTTGAAGACGACTACACCATACTCAAGAAGGTATGTTACTATGTACTGCGCTGTAGGATTGGCGCAACACTCATTTATCGGCACAGACGTCCCATCCCTATTTGACAAGTGTCAAATGTCATTTGACGTATTGGAAAAACGCGCCATCCTGGCTGGATGATTGCTGTAGTTGTTGAAGTTAAGTATGCTAGTAACAATTTTATTAATTGTTCAAAAGTAAATAGGTCCAGTCGCTGAAATCCGCGGAAATCCACTACAGGAAAACCTGCTTTATTCATGCCATCGTAACAAACTCTGCCTCTCCTAAAAATAACTTATTAGATTGCAGTGAGTGCAAACGAAGGGTTTATAGGGAAAAGAAAATAGTCGTGCATTTTTTATCATACATACAATTTCTGTCCACGTCTCATTACAAAATGAAACGGTTGTAGCTTTTAGGTAGAACACCGCCAGTTTTTACGATATTTTAAATTTGACAGATCTTCTAAAAATACACCAGTACCATAAAATGGTTTTATTACAAAACAGGTTCATTCCCCTTACATCCTGGAGAATTTGGAGTCAAACAGCGATTACGAGATCTACGTAGAAGCAGTCAACGAACACGGAGTTGGCGACGCCTCGCCTAGGCTGATATTCAGGACTCAGAGTCAGGTATACATTTATCTTCACTGTTTACTAAACTTTGACAGATCGAAGAGACGCAATTGAAAGAGTAGTTGTCGAGGATATAGTCATCTCTTTCTAACGTACGTGTCTGTTAGGTGTTAGAAGAGGAGGAGATATCGGCGAACGCGTACAACGTGAGCGCGTGCTGCGAGCGCGTGTCGCTGGCGGGCGTGTGCATGCCGCTGTGCTCCTACGACGCCAAGATGTCGGACCTGCGCACGTTGGCGCCGCTCTGCGCGCAGGAGTTCCACAAGCTGCTGCGCTGCGGCGCTGGAGGTCAGACATTGTACCAGGGCACCAGAACCTTAAGAAGACATAGAGAGTCATACTTATATCATACCAATATTATAACTGTGAAAATTTAGATAGATGAATGGATGAATGTAAGAGTTTGCAGCTAAAACGGCTGAACAGAATCCGATAAAATTTGATGTAGATGTAGAGAATATGGAAGAGCACATAGGCTACTCACTTTCGTTTTTTTGAATTCCACGCGGACGGAGTCGCTGGCGAAAGCTAGTATTCTATAAATTATACTGTCACAATAAAAGCAATCGCTTATCTTTGACTGAACTGTCCCACAACTGTTTTACGATTGTCAATTGTTTCACAGCTACTTCAACTGTTTAGTTGCACAACTAAAAATCGAGTAGTGTGTACCTCCATATAGGAAACAAAGCGAGACTGAACAGTTGTGTGCGAACGCTGGAAAGACTTACCAGTAAATATGTCCCAGGTCGCAACCACGAGGAGTGCTGCGCGCGGCGCGGCGTGCCCGCGCACTGCCGCGGCGTCTGCGCGTCGGCTCACGCGGGCGGCGTCAACGTCTGCGTGCCCTACATCGGCAACATCGTGCAGTGCTTCGAAGAGGGTAAACACACAACTACTAATTGATCAACAGATAACAATTACCATAAATATTTGTTGATTGTTGACGCAATAGTCTTCTATAAGACAGCAGCCTAAAAGTCTACGGAATAAAAAAAACAACCTTGGAGCAAAATGAACATCGTCATGTGATGGTCTTTTTGTATAGCGTAAGACCCCAAACGAGCAGGCGGCCACATGAATCCGCTAAACTGACGAAAGGACCGCTGCCTTAATCGACGGAGAAGACGCATATGAAGAGGAAATTTCCCCGTCCTATGCGTCTCCTCCGTCAGATTGTGTGTGTTCACCTCTGTGTTCTTTCCGCTCGTTTTCCCCCTTTTCACATAAAATAAAATCCACTTTCCCTTCTCATCCTTTCCTTTTTTAAAAAGGAAGGGAATAAAATTAAGCCTCGGGCACCACACTCATCAGACTGTACGCGAAATTGCTTCCACTTCACGCCTCTCTTCTGTGTGGTCGTGGTCGCACAGAGTGAGCCCTACAGTGCGAAGATGTTAAAGCGGGCTCTACCACTGACTTCTTGAATGCTATGGTATTCTGACGTGTGGTGGTGCAGGCACGGGGCTGCTGCCGGGCCCGCCGCGCGAGCTGCACGCGGTGGTGTCGGGCGAGGGCAAGCTGTTCCTGGAGTGGGCTCCGCCGGCGGACGGCGCCAACGCCACCGCCTACACCGTGCACTGGCAGCAAGTCGGCAACAACTCGCAGCCTTACTACTACAACACGCTGCAATTGGACAATGTCAGTACAATTTAGTTACATTTGATGACTTCTTTAGTAAGCAAATGAGATTTTCCAAAGTAAAGTAATCTCAGATTCAAAGTAAAGTTTTCCAAATCCAGAAATTTCTTACGATAAAATGCTGTAGCCTATCAAAGATCACCTTCGACTAAATACTTCTATGTTTGTTAAAAAAAATGCTATTTGGAATTGCAAGAATAACGTACTATACATTTCTCATGCCGACTTTCTCATATCATACTAATATTATAAATGCGAAAGTTTAGATGGATGGATGGATGGATAGATGTTTGTTAGAGTTTGTAGCCTAAACGGCTGAATGGATTTCGATTAAATTTGGTATGGATGTAGAGGATAGTTTGGAAGAACACATAGGCTACAATTTTTTTTTTAATTCCTCGCGGACGGAGTCGCGGGCGAAAGCTAGTTCTTAATAAGTATGTAACTTCAAAACGGATAACATTACATTTCTAAAGGCTTTGTGTAACAATAGGTATTTGAATATTCCAAATATTCCGAAGCAAGTAAAAGGAAACTTCGAAGTTCGCTCACATTCGGCAATAAACTATTCACGTGACTGATTTCAAGTAGCGAGCTTTGCAGGCTCTATAGAGCAAGTTTCCCGCACTCTCTACTTGTGTACGGATGCAAATACTACGCCAAGTTATCCTTAAGTTATTAAATTTTCACGCAATTGTACTTTGCACATGTACGAAGTTAGTGGAGTCCATATAGAAATTGTATTACGAGGGTTTAACTCAAACTACAGTTAACATTGCGATATTGTTATCTTCATTAGTGTTTAACTTTTTTCAGCCTAACACTAGAAATTTATTATTATTGTTCATATGTCTATGCGCTTTTTAAGTACTTTATAAAATTGAAAACTAAATAAATAACAGATCGAAATCTTTTTGAACCACCAACAGACAAAAGGTCAGTTTTGAAGTCGTAATATAAAAAAAAAGTATTCAAAATTAGAATAATTCCTTACTCTTCATAGCTTTCGGACTTTAGCCGTAAAGTGTGAACAAAATAGCTATTACATGCGATGTTAATTTAAGTTTATTGTTCAGAAACTGAACGTGAGCGAGCCGATGGCGCGGATCGTGGACCTGGAGCCGAACGCGACGTACCACGTGTTCGTGGTGGCGGCCAACCAGCACGGCTCCTCGCTGCCCTCCAGCATGCTGCTGCTCAACATCACCGACAAAGGTACAGTCGCGGGAATGCGCGGTGACCCACTATAGATAAAATTGCCTTGTTCATTGAAACTACGATTTACCTCCTCCTAAAAATTACTAATAAATAGAAACTAGCCTTGTATCACTAAGCCTTCATACAGGGATATTAACTCGTTGTATTGATTTTTGTTCCGCGTTTCAAAATTTTCAAACGATTGTAACTTAAAAAAAGAACGTACTCCCCCTTTTCACGTTTAGCGTTGCGAATGTTTATGGGCGTTGGATTATTTAATATTAAGCGATCCGCTGCTGGTTGTCCCTTAATCAGATAAAAAAAAAGTTAACTTGGAACAGCGACAGATTCCTCGACTGTACATAACACTAACAAAAACGTGCCCATATGAACCTTATTAAAGTGAAAAGTGTGTTTAGATTCAGAGAAGGAGGTGTCTGGTATCCCGTCGCCGCCGCACTCGCTGGCGGTGTCCTCGCACTCCGCCACGTGGCTGACGCTGTCGTGGCAGCCGCCGCAGTTCTCTCTGCCAGACGAGAAGATTACCTACACGTATGTATCGCTAAATATTTCTCATTGCCGTTTCATCTACTATTAGCGTCCTCCACTCCATAAGCAAAATAAGGGAAGAATGCTTAATAAGCGCATCAACCAAATATGGAAACGAATATTAAATACTTCGTTTCATAAGCGCCGCTTTTAATATGATATACATAAAAAAAAAACATACAAACGAATTGAGTACCTCCTTCTTTTGGGAAGTCGGTCAAAAATATGGTCTTATCATAAGACGCTGTATATGTAACGTTTCAGTACTCGGCCGTATCTGTTTTTCCAGATTATGTTCTACATCTATACCAAATACTGTGATCTGAGATTTCAGGACATACATAATAACAAACATCCATCCATCCTTTTAAATATCCGCATTTGTAGTACCTAATATGTTAAGAACCAAATCAGACAACACTAGAACATCGACATACACTTTCGTCTCTATCTGACAGCTGTCAATTTTATCTATACTATCTATACTATTATAATAAAGCGTAAACACACTTCTTTGTTGCCTAAGATGTCAGCAATTACAGCATATTTTTGAATATCACTTTTTTTAATAAAAAGTCCTACACTTACGTCACGCTTTAGGCTTTACATTTTCACGCTGATAAACTTTGGGGGTAAATAAATTGGATAAAAAAAACAAAACCGACTTCCAAACAAAATACACTAAAAACAAAACAAAACGCACTAAAAACAAAACAAAATATTCTCAAAAAAACAGTACACTAAAAAGTAACGAAATAATTCCTTGAAAATAGTAAACCTACCTTATTGTAACTGTTATGTCTATATTGTACAATTATTTTTACTTTGATGTCGGTGTCAGCCAAGGTATCCAGAGATATTTCTACGTAAGGGTTTCCACATTTTTACCATAACAATTGACAATTGGAAGTATAGTAACAATTAAGTAATGAATCTACATTGACTGTACATCTTATAGTTTAGGCTACGTAAGCCAAGAAAGCAAACTTTGTTACAAGTTGGTATTTTTTTCTGCGACTCGTAATTTGTAATTTATGATATCTCCTAAACTATTGATCAGAATTATATAGTTCCAAGGGCATTTATAATCTACATTAAATTCTCTTGATGATAGATACATTTATTTGGATAAGGATTCATACCGAACACGAGTAATAGCGTTGAAAGTTGGGTGTAGATTTCGGGCGATATTTTAATGAAAAAAGTGGTTATTGTGCGACAACCTTAATAGATAGATATATGCTATCGCGGACTTTTATTTAGCAAATTTAATGGGCTACAATTCTTCCATACATCATTTTTATGTAAGTCTTATAGTTTAGGCTACGTAAGCAAAGAAAGCAAAAATGACCCGAAATTTCGTCGCGCGATTTTGAGCTAAACTATTTAACTACGTCGTAGTCTTAGACTCCAAAAATTAAACAAAAAAATGGGACCCACCTGCAAGCATTACCTTTCGGATAGAAAAAGAATTATCCAAATCGGTCCACTAGCGGCGGAGTTATGCCGTAACACACAAAAAAAAAAAAAAAAAAAAAAAAAAAAAAAAAAAAAAACATACGGTCGAATTGAATACCTCCTTCTTTTGGGAAGTCGGTCAAAAACCATATGGAAAGAGACCATAAGTTACTGCCAACATCAAGGAAACACGGTTGCCATAGTTTGTCATCATGTCATGTCATTTTGACATTTGCAATTGATAATTTGACAAATGTCAGTAACAAAATTAAAATTTTCATAATTTTATGCGGATGAAGCCGCACGGGAACATCTAGTTTAGACATATTTAGAAAACGCGCCATTCTGGCGGGAGGGAGGTAGTGGCCTAATTGTTTAAGTTAATTACGTTGTTACAGTTACATTAATGTTCTTTCAGTAGTAAGATTAGGCTGAATTTTCGTTAAAATTGAAGTTGAATTAAGCGATTTGTACACATTTTGAATAACAGATTATTCTACAAGTCGCCGAGCCAGCTCGGGTCCGGCAACGTGACGCGCGTGGAGACGACGGTGCCGGGACACACGCTGGAGAAGCTCTCCCCCAACACGCAGTACGTGGTGTGGGTGACCGCGCACGCCGCCGCCGGCGACTCGCTGCCCTCCGAGACACTGCTCGCCTGGACGGACCCTGCCTACCCCGCATACGTTGAAGTCAGTTCATACACTAAACTGTATTATTGCAAAAAATACTTTGACTAAATTATTCATCACCAGCTCGCTATACGTTCCCACTGAGTTGCTCGAAGTCTACTCTAAGTAAGGACTAGGCACTAGTCAACCGCGCTGCACTGTAGGTTGACTTCACACATATCTTTGAATTTGCCGAAATGTCCAGATTTCATCACGATGTTTTCCTTCACCATAAGAAAGGGTAAACTATGTACATATAAAAATCGAAAATCACATTGCTACACAGCGGGTTCGATCCCAGCACTTGTAGATTACAAGTCAAGTGCTCAAAACTCTGAGCCACCAAGTCTTGAGTAAATTATTACAAGACAAAATACCAGATCTAACTGGAAATCCGGTTTTCAAAAGCTCACAAATGTGAGAAATCTACACTTAAAAAGGAGTGAGTTGGTAGTTAATAAAATTAACAATTTAATTAGACTTGATTATTGTTGCAGCCACCGACAGTGAACCCGGTGAACCTCGTGGTAGAAGGTTCCAGTATGACGATACTCTGCATCGCCATGGGCACGCCCACGCCCACCATCTCGCTCTACATATCTGGTAACATATCAAAATGCACTGCAAAACCACCTCTATAGAATGCTACTTTCTGAATCAAGAAGACATACTAAACGACAAACAGAATCTTATAATATCTCACTACTTCACTCTTTCTAGATGTATTCTTATACCTTTGCTGTCTCTTAAGGTTGTTGTAAATCAAATAAATGTGACCCTTAATCAATTAGGCAATTACATCCCGCTTCACATTAATCTTAAATCTTTATTGGCAAATCTAATTAGAATCAACCTCAGGAAAAATCTAAAAAAAAAAACAAAACACACTAAAAAGTAACGAAATAATTCCTTGAAAATAGTAAACCTCTCTTATTGTAGCTGTTATGTCTATATTGTACAATTACTACTTCTTTGATGTCGGTGTGACCAGTTTATCTCAAAAAAGCTTTATTAATCGTCAAAGTAATTCCTTCTTTAAATCATATTTACGTTCGATGTCGGTTTGACTAAAAGATATTGAGATGTGGCAATGCCGTGATGCAGGGCGCTTGGTGCGGCAAGAGGTGACGCGCCACATGGTGACCGTGATCCACAACGTGACGCGGGACATGGACCAGATCTCGTGCTACGCGGACAACGGCTACGGCACGCCCATGCAGGCCTCCAGGAAGATCAACATATCTCGTCAGTACTAACAAATCTATACTTCTATACTATTGTAATAAAGCGTAAACACACACTTCTTTGTTGCCTAAGATATCAGCAATTACAACACATTTTTGAATAATTCCTTTTTTAATAAAAAGCCCTATGTCACGCTTTAGGCTATACATTTTTACGCCATTAAACTTAGGGGGTATATATCTATAATATAATACAGCGTAAACACACATTTCTTAAAACTTTTGGATTCTTAGCGTAAAAAAATATATAAATTTCACAATGTACTATCGGGAAATCTGCTTTGGAGGACGAAAACCCGGTGCGCCGACCCTACGGGAGTAGGAAGGCAGGGGAGATGATGATGTACTATCGGGAAATCTGACAGTGTTCTATCTTAAGAACGTGCGCACACCTTTGACCAAAACTATCGCACAACTGTTTAGTCTCGGTTTTACTCGAGTCTTTGCACAACTGAACAGTTGAGTTAGCTGTGTAACAATCGACAATCGCACAACTATTGTATCATAGTTTAGTCAAAGGTGTGTGTGTTTTGTACGCAGTTTTTTTTTTTTTGTTTAAACGAAAGAAGCTGCTTTTTATTGTTATTTCGTTGTTAACGCGATTTACTGCAATTTGTTTGTAATAGGAGGTAAAGTTTGTCTCGTTGCACATAAGGCAATTTTTCTATAAATGGAACACGGCGAAGATACTCGATTGTACATTTCGAACTAATCAAGATAATAATTTTCCAATTGGTACTTCCTTATCGAAATTAAAATAATCTATAATTTTAAAGTCGTTGTATTTCTTGTAGATGTGCCAACAATCCAAGCATCAGGTATAACGATGGCGGCGGCCGGAGACTCCGTGATCCTGGAGTGTCGTGTGGAGGCGCTGCCGAAGCCCACCATCGCCTTCTGGAGGGACCCCAACGGCAGGACCCCGGTTATTGATGGACCTAACTACACTATACAATTACTTGCTGACCCTGAAGTAAGTTATTTGTACACAGCTAACTTTTTAAACACTGAACCCACTAGAATGCTAATCCATATTTTGTGTTGCTAGACTATGGATAACCTAATTTTCAACGATCACTGTATAAATAACTAACTTTTCCCGCCTGAAATTTTAAAAAAAATAACAAAAAACATAACCTATATTACTCACTGATAACGTAGCTTTTACATTTAAAAGAAAGATTTGGTGAAAGATTTTTTGAAATCGGCCCAGTAGTTGTTGATATTGTTATTATTTCAATACATAAAGAAATCCAAAAATGCAAATCTTTCCTCTTTATTATAATAGGATCAATTGATTTGATTAAAATGAAAACATTTCCTTAAATTATATGATCTAAGTTCTTGACTAGTTTGCATAATAGGAGATAAAAAATAAAAATAACATCTGAATTCAATTACGCAAAAGGTATCGAAGATGGAAAAGCTGTGTGCAATTTTAATGTGCCGTCCGTTACTTAATTACAAATGAGTTGCGGTCGACGAATTTAAACTCAGTTTAATTATTTATGGAAATCCAATTCGCGGCATCTCATTACTATTCATGAGCTGTCAATACATTACTTTCTGGAGGACGTTCGCTGACAATCGTCCTTACTTTGAAACCTCATCAAATTAAAAAAGTTTTACAATTACGAATAAGCTGATTAAAGGATCGATATTTTAAGGATTTTATGAAAATAACCACAAAAATTTTAGTCCCTTTCCCTTGCCATCCTTCACTCATAAGGTAAAGTGGATTTGATGGTGGAGGTGATGCATAGGGAAGGGAAATGTCCTCTTTATGTGCGTCTCCTCCGTCAATTAAGGGTAGGCAACGCATCTGCAATTGCGGTTGTCTACGGGCAGAGGTCGCTTTCCATTTCGGTGAATTCACATGGCCGCTTGCTCGGTTGCCACCTAGTATTATAAAAAAAAAACATTTCCTGTACAAAATCGTACTAGTTATTTGTGAAGCCTTTTTCCCCAAAGTTTTACACCTCTACTGGTTTTCTCGTAGTGATTTTGTAATAATCACAGATGTTTACAGTGGTAGAGTTCGCTTTAATATCTTCGTACTATAGGGCGGCTCGCCCGGTGTAAGACAACGACCACACAGAAGACACGTGTCTGTCTCATGAGTGTGGTGCTGGAGGCCTCATTTTAGTTATGGAAAGGAAAAGTGAATGTGACGTTGGTGGAGATATATTGGAAGGGAAAACATCCTCTTTATGTGCGTCTTCTCTATCGATTAAGAGTAGGAAAAGCATCTACAATTGCGGTTGTCTATGGGCAGCGGTAGCGCTCCATTTCGGTGAATTCAGGCCGCTTGCTCGTTTGCTTACATCCTCTATTTTTATTCTAGGATCAAACGAAGTACACAATGCGTTTAATAATAAAGAAGATATCAGAGTCTGACGAGGCGGACTACTTCTGCCACGCGGAGAACGCGTTCGGCAAAACGCTGCGGCCCGTGTCCGTGCGCCTGCGACACGCCGCGCCGCAGCACAACGTCACACACTGCTGCACGCAGGTCACAAATTAGACAGCTTATTATCTAACTAAGCATAAACAACTAGTAAAATCTAACATAGATAAGTATTATCCTTAATTTGAAATGTTAAACACTATTTGTGAACTTATATTTGCACATTGACTTAAATTAAATCCTATCACAGCTCTCCGCTAAAACACAGTGTAATTTAGGTGCTCTAAATATTAAAATTAGTTTCGATAATTGAGCTAGTGATTTGTTGAGCAGATGAACGTGTCGTCAGCGTGCATAGACGCGTGCAGCTTCCACCTCGACATGGACAACATCATGGACCGGCCTGAATGTCTCGACGACTTCGAAAAGCTCATGAAGTGCGCCGCTGATGGATCCGGTGAGATTAACTACTCTGCGACACACTTCACACTGCCTAACTGACACTTTACAGTCTAGAGGTCTTTAAATCATACTTCTTACTAATCATACTTAATGTTATATAAGCGAAAGTTTACATGGATGGATGGATGTTTGTAAGAGTTTGTAGCCTAGACGTCTTAACCGATTTCGATGAAATTTAGTATAGACGTAGAAGATAGTCTGGAAGAACACATATGCTTACTCACTTTTGGTTTTGTTAATTCCACGCGGACGGAGTCGCGGGCGAATACTAGTAATATTATAAATGATAAAGTTTGGATGGATGTTTGTTAGAGTGTAGCCTAAACTGCTGAACGGATCTCGATGAAATTTGGCACAAATATCGAGGATAGCCTGGAAGAACACTTAAGTTACCTTCTTTAATAACCCGCGGTCAGGATCACTGAATGAAAGCTGAATAAATGAAAAACTAGCGTTGAGTAGCATTTGTTAGAGAGAGCGCATTGCAGACCACCGCGGGTGCTGCGCGTCGTGGGGCGTGCCGCGCTCCTGCCTGGAGCTGTGCCGCGGCGGCGCGGTGGCGCGCTCCTGCGCGCTGCAGCTCGCCTGCTTCAGGGACGCCGGCGCGCGCTTGCCGGGCCCGCCCAGGGAGCTGCGCGCGCACGCCGCGCCCACTCCGCACGCTGTGCTACTTAGGTACAACTATGCTCTTCTATATGCTTTTTTTCACCTTCACTGTATTTTCACACTTCACTGTTTTACTGTATATCGAATTTACAGCTTCTTCTGATCTTCTACTCGCAACCTTAAGTGTTTCAGTCTGTGGTTTATTTCAGCGATTCTTAATATCAGATAGCTTGCAACTTTGCTTAAATTAACAGGAATATCATCTTTATCTATACTAATATTATGAAGAGTAATTCGTATTTTTTTTTTAATTTCGTATGTATTGGAATATAATTCAAAAACTAATAGAGCAATTTTAGCTACTTTATCAGAAAATAACATGTTTGTTATTTTTTTTAATTCATGCAGACGAAGTCGCTAGTACAGTTTAGAAGAAACATGTTTGTTTTATGCTACAATATAATCTAACTGGTGTTGTCCGTGGGCAGCTGGGAGCCGCCGCTGAAGAACCCGCAGACGGTGTACCTGTACCGCGTGTTCTGGCGCGCGTACGGCGCCAAGGTGCCGGAGAAGCTGGACACCAGCGAGACCAGCGTCGTGCTGACCGGCCTGCGCGATGACGTCAGATACGAGTGCGTCGTCAAAGCCGCCAATGACGTCGGTAAGGGGACATTACGTCACAGCTCAATTATTTACTTTAACGAAATGTTCCAATAGTAGAAGTAGCTTATGCCGCACTCTAAATTCAATTTTATTGTTATCCCGTTGTTTGCGCAACTCATTGATATCTATTTGTCTATTGGAAGAATCGAAGTATATCTCTTTGCCAACGATGCAATTTTTTTCTGTATATAGAACATCAGGAGCAAAACACAGTCTTTTAAGGCCTGTTCCACCGAATTGTAAATTGTCTGATAACAATCCAATGTGTAAAATATGTGATGAAAATAACATATTTTATTCCCTCATCTGACAGTGACGTCATTTTTAAGCTATCTGGGCCTCCATCAGCCAGTGGTGGGTCAGGTCGTAAGTGTTGAAATAAGTTTAACTTGGTATATGTCAGGCACGTCGTCGCTGAGCGCACCCATCATGTTCACGACGGCGGGAGAGGAACCTGGGGCAGGGGCGGGCGCGGCGGCGGCGCCGGTGGCGGGCGGCGCGGCCTCCGCAGTCGGCGCCGCGCTCGCCTGCGTGCTGCTCGCCGCGCTGCTGCTCGCCGCAGGATTCTACTACCGACATAGGAAGGTATGCTACGACCACTCCTCTACCATTCATTTTTCCTTTTACATCTAGTGGTAAGAATGTTGTAATACTGTGTTACTTTGTTACAGAATTTAAGACTCAAAACGCAAGGAGGAGTTGCGTTTGAAAATCCAAGTTACCTCAGAGAAACTAATACTGATACATTAGGAAATGTAAGTATACCTCAACCGCCTAATTATATTATTGTCTAATAATAGAATGAGCGTCGGTGGCTCAGTGGTTTAAGCACTTGACTTGTAATCTACAGGTCTTGGGTTCGAATCCCGCCGCCATGTACCAATGTGATTTTCGATTTTTCGAATTTTCATATGTACATAATATACCCGACGTTCTTACGGTGAAGGAAAACATCGTGATGCAACCTGCACATATCGGCGAAGAAATTCAAAGATATGTGTGAAGTCAACCAACCCGCACTTGGCCAGCGTGGTTGACTATGGCCTAGTCACCCTAACATTAGGGTAGGCTCCGAGCCCCTCGGTGGGGACATATAGTGAGCTGGTGATGATGATGAATAGAATTAGCAAAACTTCAGTTTAGGAGACGGTGGTGTTGAAGTATAATTTGTCCCAGGGTACTGTGGCGAACGGCAGCGCGAGCAATGGCGGCGCGCCGGGGCTGGGCGTGTCGAGCAGCGCGGCGTGGCGGCAGGAGACGCTGCAGCAGGCGGGGCGGGAGATGGGGCGGGAGGGGGGCCGCGAGGTGGAGCCCACGCTGTACGAGGAGCTGAAGCTGGGGCAGGACGGCGCGGGCTTCAAGCGGCTAAAGCCATAGCCCGCGGCGCGCTCGACGCTCCGCTCGCCGAGCGGCTCGCCGAGCACTTCGCCGCGCCGCTCGCCGCACCGCTCGCCGCGCTTCTCCTCGCCCCGCGTCGCGCCCAAGTACTGAACTCTGTGTGCTCTCTTCTTCATAAAAAGTGACTGATTTCTATCCTTCATCAAACAATGTGAATAATTACAAAATATGTACGTAGTTTATACAATTATGAAGTAACAACTTTTTTAGAGAACCATAGATCGTTTTAAAGTAAAATGTGTGTAAATATTATAAAACAGTAATGTAATTTTGATTCGTTTAAAAAAGTACTTATTAAAAATGATAGGAAGAAATCAGTTGCACAAAAAAAAGAGTGGCAAAACCCAAATACAAACGAACCGTTCTATTTTCCAAATATTTGTACGGTTAAATAAAGTGTGCAATAAAAAACAAAAAGCAGAACACAAAGTGTAATGGACGCAAGCGGCGCGGCCGCAGCGGAGTGTTAGATAAATAAAAAAAATAACTTATAATAATATTTCCAGATGATGTAACACTTTATGTGATGAAAACCAAAAAAATATATAAGATCTATTTCCGATACTTTATGTAAATAAATAATATTGATTGCAGCGGAGAATAAAAATAACAATTTCCATTCCTCGAGCATGATCAAAACGCGCGATAACCGACGCCATTTTGAAAAAAAATTCCGCTGCGTTCAATATACTCGTAACTTCACTTAGGTCGCTATAGTTTCTTAACGAAGCTATTTGTAAAGTTAGGTGAAACTCTATGAAAAATGTGCCTTCAATTTAAGAAGTAGGTAGAATACGTTAGCAATAGAAGTCTCGGCCTGTATGATATGTACCTAGTGTAAATAAACATTCCATAGAGAGTAGACACTTTGTACAATCTATATGAAATACAGTAAAACGAATGGATTTGCACAGTATTAAGATTTTGATAAGTGTTAGCCATCGAAATATATTGTTAAATATAAATAGAATGTAATAAAGATTTCCAAGAAAATTGTTTTCTAAAACTGTATTAACATTTCAAGTCTTACGAGAATAAAATGACTCAAATTTATATTTCCTTTTGAATACTATCGAACGATTTATTTAGTTTTTATTCCATCACACTACGTATATTATAAAAAAATAAATGATCTCATTCACAATTATTTTAGTAGAATAATTGTTAATTGAATTTTATTTTTAATATTTTTTTTGGATTGAATCCTAGGAACATTCTAGCATTCAATGCAAAAAATCATATATGCACAATGAAAATCCGCTTTTTCTTAAGTAAAATATATTTATTTTAAAGAAAACATTTAATTTATTGTCATTTATAATGTATCGCAAATATTCTTTGTATAAATACCATAGTTTTGTTCGTACGTAGTGTGAATTTATGTAAAGGCCTGACTTTTCTTGTTAGAACTTCTTTCTAAACGAATATGTTATTAGATTTAGTTATACAAGATGGATGTGATTAGATTTGTAAATAAAATAAAAAATGAACAAATAAAATAATACTTTTTTTCCTACATTTCCTTTTAGTTATACAGTTTCATAGTATTTTTTTAAAATAAACAAGAATAACAAATTCATTTTTGTTGATTCAGAATTTTAGATAATATATAGCAACACCGAACGTCCCGCGCAAATATTTCGTACAAATCAAACAATGGCTAACGAGAAGTAAATACGTAACATATGCAAAATGGCGGGCTTGCTTGTTACTTTAATATTTTATTATCTCTTTTACTTAATAGACAAGGAAAATTAAGGGTTTTTATAACTAATTTTCCCGTTTAAAGTTAAGACTTAGACATTTTTTTAGGATTAGAAGTGAAAAATCTTTTGAATCTTTATAATTTTTTTAATCTTTTCCATAGCTGTAAATTGTGAACTATGGACGTTCACAATTTTATGAGAAAACTCTCTTATGAATGGAAAAAATCAATAAATACACAAACAGTATTAGGGTTTGCTAAGCCGCCTAATGACGAACGGACTATTCTGTTCCGACTGTTCAATTACAACTGAGCGTCTGTAGGTGGCTTTATCAACGTTTGTTTCTAACAAGTTTATTGTTGCCACTTAAATAGGACAATTAAATTTATACTTGAATTAATTGTCGACTTAATTTCTACGGTTCGGAATCTACGGCGTTATTTAATTACGTACCTCGGTGTCCGCGTTTTATTACCCAACGTAATAAGTTTAAAAACAAATTCAAGTTATGACCAAGAAGGGGAGCCAGGGCGCCTTGAATCCTTAACTTAAAATGGTTTTCTACCCCGTTTTCTTATACAGGAAATGTTTTTTTTTAGTAAACTTGCTAATATTATAAATGCGAAAATTTAAATGGATGGATGTTTGTTAGAGTTTGTAGCCTAAACTGCTGAACGGATCGCGATGAAATATAGCATAGATATAAATGATAAAAGAACACATAGGGTACTTACTTTTGTTTTTTTTTTCATGGGAAAGGAGTCGCGGGCAAAAGCTAGTAATAAAATATTTTAAGTAATAAATATTATTTTAATTTTCCAAACACTGTATTTGACAGCAATAGTCGATTTAAAGAACAATTTTACCTAACTCAAAAATATCTATTTCCTAAATTCCCCTTAGCATAGACTTTTAGAAAATAAACAATAAGCGAGCTTTTTAGTACCGTTTTATCGATTCTAGGACGTAGGAATATTAAATTTTAAAACAGATTATACAAAAGTCGTTTTAAATTTCCCGTAAATATTAAGTTGGGCTTCACCGCTGCCTTTGAAAGTAAATTACAGTTTAATGGACGTTGAAGTGAAAACGAATGGGACACTTTGGCTGCCTTCAATAATAAATGTACACCCCGTAATGTTGCCAACACATCAAATATGCTGGAAGGGTTAATACATCGTGTGTCAGAGGAAACAGGTAATAGCAGAAACAAATTAGGTAATGGAATTATTGTGGACTAAAAAGGATAAAATTTTACCGGAATGCTATTCAAGTTTTAACAGTGGTAGAATCCGTAACAACATTTTTTGTGCAAATGGGCCGGCTCGACCAGTGGACCACTATCATACAAAAATCGTGAAGTGGACGTAACTCCCCTTCCCACCATTTTAAGGGGAAATATTCTCCTTTACTAAATCACCTCCTTTATTGCTTAGTAGATAACACCACCACTAGCTTACTATACCTCACTGAGGAGCTCGGAGCATGCCCTAAGTTAGGGGTGACTAAGCCGTAGTCAACCACGCTGGCCCACTGCGGGTTGACTTCACACATATCTTTGAATTTTTACGCATATATGTGCAGGCATCACGATGGTTTCCTTCACTTTAAGAACGTCAGGTAAAATGTACACATGAAATTCTACATGTATAAATAATTTATTATTTAATAAAAAAAAATGTAAACTAAAGAACTCCTTTTGTTCACTGAAGACAAGAGGCATTAACGTGGCCACTTATAATTAAAGTACCAATATATCTTGACCTCTACCATCCCTGAGTCGTTTCCTCACTAAATCCCGTCCTCCATAAACGCTTCATTCAGATTGATTTTATCGCGTTATAAAGTAATCCTATCGGATTAAGGCCCTTAAAGGGATATCCACAATTAAGTTTTACTGTCAACTTGTTTTAAATGGTAACCCTATTATATTATAAACAAGGTAAAATGTGGTTTCAAGCGTGGAACTTCGGAACGTAACGTTTTTTTTCTTTTCTTTTTCCACCTAGTGTAGTTGTAAATAAATATATCAGTACATAAAGTGAAAAGACATGTCGCAGTGAGCGAGCTATCATTCCTTAGCGAATAAAGTTAAGCGCAATAAACAATGTAGTCAAGAAAACACAAGATAAATGCATTATTTCATTACATAAAATGTGATTTTACAGATGTTTTTATTTCACTTTTTTCAGAGTTTCGATTTCAGATATGTGTATAGTTAAAGAATATTTTCTCTCGTATTTTCTTCTCTCGTATTTACTCGTATTTTTTTTTATATAACATAAGATGGCAAACGAGCAAGCGGCCACCTGAATCCGCCAAAATGGCGAAGCGACCGCTGCCCATAGACATCTGCAATTGCAGATGCGTCGCCTACCCTTATCCGACGGAGGAGGAGACGCACATAAGGAGGATATTTCCTCTTCCTATGCATCTCGTCCATCGTCAAATCCACTTCCCCTTCCCATCCTTTCATAAGAAAAGGGTGGTAAAGAGAAAGGGACTTAAATTAGGCCTCCGGCACCAATTACACATATACATTAGTATGACTTTTATTAATTTTTTCACCAGCATTGCGAGCGTCAAATGAAGTTTTACGCCTGGGTAGGAAATATACGTCCTCGACTGTAATGCGTAGTTCAACAAGATCTTAAAGTAGAAGTCGGTAGGTATTAAAACAATTAAGCCGTAATTACGGCGCGTAAACACTGACTTGTGTTTATTAAACCCTTGACATGTCAATAATTTAAGAGGCGGTAAGCGCGATGTGCGTAGTAGAACTATTTCAGGAACACTTGTAATAATAGATATGTCCCTTTCTTTATCTTTGGCTAAACCGAGACAGCAATACCCAAGATAAGTGTCACAGCAGTGAAATTGTGCGGTTAGAATTTATATTTGGGTGAAGAATTTACATATGTACTACATGTTATTTATGTCTGTTAATAGGAATGTAAATATTCAAGATAATTTGATACAAAACGATTTATGCTTATTTTTATATTACTATCACTAATATTATAAATGTGAAAGTTTAGATGGATGGATGGATTTGTTACAGTTTGTAGCCTAAACTGCAGAAGGGATCTCAATAAAATTTGGCACAGATGTAGAGGATAGCCTGGAAGAACACATAGGCTACTCAGTTTTGTTTTTTTTAACCTTACGCGAACGGAGTCGCGGGCAAAGTTTAGTTCAAACTGAAGTATAAAAAAAAATAATTTTAAACTTTACAGTTCTCAGTTTGACTGATCAGTTAAACCTTTAACTTCTGTGGAACTATAGGTTGATAAACGTAAGTTGACGTTAAGTTTACATCGACGATTGAATTGTTTACAAATTGGCTTGATTAAAATATCGCCGTCGACCCACAAAAGCAACTAAACCTATTCGGTATTATAGACAACAAAATAAATCAAATTTCTAATACGACCGAGTTATAAAAAAATCATAGCTGTTACATGTAATTAGATGTTTGTGGAATTTGTGATATTAATCGTAACATTTTTGCGTGTGACATAGGGAGGGCAATTTGACGTCTCTCGGATATCCTGTCGGGATGATGAGGGCGCACATCACAAAAATGAGCCCGACCGCGCGATACCAGTTGACACCTCGCCTACAGAACACCTGCGATACACACAGACAGACAAGACGAATAACAAAAAAAGTAATTGATTGTTTTATTTAACATTTTTCTTGACAACAATTACTTTTATAAGTGAAACAGCTAAAGAAAAACATTATTTTACTGTTTATGTCTTAAAAATAGGGAAGACAGTATATTTTCAATTTCGGCTGTGTTAAGGCTTTATTTACAAATAAGACGTGCTCTGCCCCTTTCAACGTAAAGAATTAACAAAATAAATAATAGCTGGCGTCAATTCACAATGACCGTGTGTCACAAAAAATATCAAGGTTTTCCGCAGCCTGCTTTTTTAACGTTGTTATCCATTTAATTTTCATAACATCATAACGTATAAAAATGTTATAAACCAACCTAACTCGAACGAAATATACGGCATCAAACAATAAAATAAAATAATACGACGAACAGGCTTATATTTAATTAAAATCTGTACTATGTATTATAATAAAGCGTAAACACACACTTCTTTGTTGCCTAAGATGTCAGCAATTACAGCATTTTTTGAATAATACTTTTTTTTTTAATAAAAAGCCCTACACTTACGTCACGCTTTAGACTATATATTTTCACGCAATTAAACTTAGGGGGTAAATATTTTGGATAAAAATCTAACGTGGGAAAGAGACCATAAGTTGCTGCCAACATGAAGGAAGCAAGGATGTCATAGTGTCATGTCATTTTGACATTTGTAATGGATAATTTGACAAATGTAAACAGTAAAATAAAATTTCATAATTTAATGCGAATGAAGTCGCACGGGAACAGCTAGTTATAAATAATAGTACTTTAATGTTTACAATTTAACCAACGAACAAGTGAATAGCCGACAATATTTGACCTGACCGGAGTCTGAATGTGAAGACTGTTTTCATTTTATTTTTTCTCCGTAACATCACTGCCAGTATCAATTATTCATTTACTTCCTACTCATTCCAGCGCTAAGGGGGAGAACGGCAAAGTACATTTTAAATTAAAAAAAAACCTTCCTGGTGTGCATTTTTTATTTTACGAGAAAGAGCAAACATTCATGCTTATATAAACACACAAATATACAGTATGTAATGTACATAATTAAATAATTAATAAATGGTTTTAAAAAGTTAGTGAGATCACTAATAAATGGTCAACTACATTGATGTTTTCTTGTAAAAAAAATAAAACAAAGATTTCCTTGTTCTAAATTCAAATAATTTGAGCGCTGCATTAAATTGAATTTTAAATCAAAAGGCCTTCTAGTGGTGGCATAAATTTAGTATTCACTGGAGCGTACGGAGTTACCTCTGCTAGAAAGGGTTTTGCTTTTAGCTAAAACTTGTTTGACGTACAACCGGATGTACACACTAGTTATAAATCGATTAAGCTTATATCTAAAACAAACTTTTTTACACTATATAATTATTTTCAATAGCACATCTTAACTGTAAAACTATCAATCTTAGAATTATTTTTTACGTTATGTTTAGGTTTATTTTAATTACATACATTTTGAATAATACCATCAAAATTAAAATATTATCTAACCCTGCCTTACTCAATCTATACTAATATAATAAGAAAGATTTGTATTTTTGTATGTATTGAAATAACTCAAAAACTACCGGGTCGAATTTACTTCTTTAATTGTTAGAAAGGTTATTCATCTGTGAGTAACATGGGCTATCTTTTTTATTATTTTTTAATTTCATGCTTATAAAGTCGCCAGCAACAGCTACTGGTCAATAAACCTATAAATTATTAGTCACAATTAGATGCAAGATTTATTTTACACATTTCTTAAAAACGCTTAAACCTTTCGATAAAATAAGCTTTTAAATATCTAAAGACGTATTTGCCGTAAGTGAGATTAACTTTAAAAAGCCCTAAAGGGTTAGGATCGCATTAATATTCAGGAGAGCGTGACGTTGTGGTCTCGAAGTAACAGTGGCTCAGTTTGACAGACGCCGGGTGTCTCATGTGACCGGACACCACATGGGGAAACAAATTTCGGTTTAACTATCGCTTAAATTTGTTTTAATTGGTATTTTAGTGCTTATCTCAACGTATAAATACAACAATATCAACTTCAGGTATCCTTGGATTAGAGTTCTATTTTAAATTTGCGACCAGCTATAGTCATATAGGAAAAACTATCCATAGAATAAGCCATATACATTTTTAATTGAAGTAAATACAGCTCGTACATCTTTGACTAAACTATTCCACAACTGTTTAGTCGCGCTTTGATTCCTATGAGCACATATGAAGGTGCACACTTTTCGATTTTTAGTTGTGCAACTAAACAGTTGAATTTGCTGCGAAACAATCGAAAATCGACAATCGCACAACTGTTATGCGATATTTTAATCAAAAGTGTTCGCCCGCTCTAACTAAATTTATTCTATAACTTTCGCCTGCGACTCCATCCGTATGAAATAATAAACAAACAAAAGTAAGCAGCCTATATGTACTCCCAGACTATCCTCTACATCTACGCCTCATTGAGATCCGTTCAATTTAGAAGTAACAAACATCCATCTAAACTTTCGGATTTTTAACATAGAAAATTCATCTTCTATCAACGAATATCCAACGACGATTGTTTACGCTACAATTCTCGTTGCTCAATTCACAAAGGGACGATTATTTCACGAACAGAAATGTATAGTGGACACAGCAATTGTTCCGTGCAGCTGCAAACAACAGATATGCTGTTGCAATATGCATTTACAGCTAAAATCGACAATAAAACTGCCTTCTTTTACCTATTGCCTACAAAAATAAACCATTTTTATTATATTTTACACCAAAAAAACTTATAAAACTCATTATAAACACCTATCTACTAATATTTGTCGAATTAGTTCATTTACAATCATTTGATTTCTTCTAGGAAATAAAAGTAGGTTTCAATAAACATTTCCAACTCGTTTCAATTGATCCTTGTCCGCTATACATGTACAGTCTTAGTTGTTATAGTTCGACTCCAAGTCTACAGTCAAAACCGAAGTGTGTTGCTGACTTTATAATGTATTAAAAAACAAACAGACCGTTCACTTTTACGTCCTTTACCACATTATTTATTGTATGAAAAATAGTTTACAGTTAATCATAGAAATATTTTATTAAGATACATCTTTATATAAAGTCTTATAAAACCGTGTTCATTAATTGCTTGAGATTAACATTTAAAAGTAATCTGCTAGGACAAAGGACGGAGAAATCATTAAAACTTTCCTTTTATCTTCTTTATAAGCCGTTGTCTGTGTGAAGCGACTCCTCGTCTAATATTGACACCCGACGAAATTAAAAAAGCATACAATTTTCTACACAAAATACTAGTATACTAGGAATTTTAGAACTAAAAATGTACAATAACGTATTTTATACGTATTTCATAACAATTATAAAGATAAGATGGAATGGAACAAATAAAAGAAAAGAAAATAAAAATAAAATGTATTACTCTTTTTGTTTCGGAGTACTTATGATTCGTTGTTATACGAATAATACAATAAGATCGTAATAAAAAAGAAAAGAACAATATTCAAACAAAGCTACTTCTACTTCTAAAATATTGTAATCTCGAATATTCTTGTACCCTTTTGATATTATGGAAAATAAAACGATTATAAGAAACATTCTAAAGCGGATGAATCGTTTATTTAACTCGGTGCTCCGTTCACCGGCTGCAGGCCAGTGCTGGTGTTACACCCAGTACAGTACTCTTTGCCCAGTACGCACAGTTTCCCGTACAGCCTTCAATCACTAATAACAATTTTATTTAATTAAAGATTTGACTGTACTTTATTTGTTTTAGATTGAATATAGAAATTCTAGTAATAGGTCATCTTTAAAATTATAAGTTACTAATTTCAATATTACTACACTTTAAAAATGAAGTAGTCAGCTAAAATTAACCAGCGGACTCCATCATCTTGATACTTAAGTAGCCATTTAGGATAAGTAACATCCGGAAGGGCCTTCAAGTCTCCACTTAAACCGCAATTCGAAATCCATTTACTAAGAAGCCTTTTAGATGATTTTCACGTATATTTTGAATTTTATCCAGTTTTTATATAATATAACCAATGATTTTGAAGATAAAAATAAACGATAAGTAAAAGCAAGTTCGGCCCCATATGGAGTACTGCTCGCACCTCTGGGCGGGAGCAACCCAATGCCTCTTCTTCCATTTGACCGCATACAACGGAGAGCGATTCGAATCGTCAACGACCGAGCTCTTACCGATCGGCTAGATTGTGATTGTGGAACGGTCTGTCCTCGGCGGTATTTCCAAACCAATACGACTTAGGGTCCTTCAAGAAGCGAGCCTACAATTTACTCAAAGGCCGGCAACGCATCTGTAGTTCCTCTGGTGTTGCGGATGTCCATGGGCGTCGTTGACCATCTTTGTGTTCCCGCCGCTCGTTTGCCCCCTTCTCATATAAAAAAAAGACAACGTTAAAAACTAAGTATTTCAAAATTTACATTTGTTGTGTTTTTGGTCTCGCTAAGCAAATATTAGTATTAATTAAAAATAAAGGATATTTTTATAAAACTTAAATCATTACAAAACTAAACTAAAATCTTCACGATTTTAGTTTAGTTTTATAGAAACGGCATTTTACAGAGCGCTATTTTTGCTTTTCGTTTATTTAATGCAAGTATCAAAACGTTCTAGCAAGTGTCAAAATAATAATCAAAACAAAATTGACGTTTATGTCAGAAGAAAGAAATCTATGAAAATATTTAAAGATTATCATGGAAATGAAATATTAAGCAATGAATATGAAAAGAAACACACATGTATTCGATCTGTACTGGGAAGATATATTAGTTGCCAAAGTAATACCATTTTTGACTATCCGCGAATGTTTTAATTTTCGTTGTGTTTCGCGAACTTGTCTACAAATAATAGATATGTATTTCGCTAAGTTAAAATCATTGAAACTGATGAATAAAGGCTTCTCCCCGCACACGTTCAATGTAAGTATTGAACAGGAGATGATATAAAATCTCTATTCAAATAAAACTTCACAATTTTGGTGCATTTCCAGGTATTTGCTAACACTTGTACGCGCTTAAATTTATTGAATTTAAGTCGATGTCAATGTATTAGTGACAACGCATTGATTCCGATGTTGCGTAAAAACCACGATATAGAAAGCCTGAACCTAAGTCAGTGCAAGAATTTATCTGCAAAATGTTTGCAACCAGTTATCCTCCACTGCAACAACTTACGAATACTGAAACTTGCGCGATGTTCATGGTTGACTACGGGAGCCATTGAAGCGTTGGCTCTCCATCAAAGTAAGCTAGAGGATGTAGACTTGGCATTCTGTGTGGCTATATCGGAGAACTGCATATTAATTTTTATAAAGAAGTTTCAACAGATAAAGACTCTGAACTTAGAGGGCAACAAGCAAGTGACAGATAAATGCTTGTACACGATATCAAAGTACAGCAAGTCATTGAAACTTCTAAACTTAGGTGGTTGTTGTGAAGTAACTGATAAAGGAGTGAGGTAATCATTTTTCATATTTAACACCTCGGAGAAAGCCTTTACATACTTTGTGGTATATTTCCAAACACTTGATTCTTGCTATTTATAGTAATAATTACGTAATTTCAGAGCACTGGCACTACACTGTCCCAATCTGGAAGGGCTGCTTATCCGAGGGTGTACAAAAGTGACGGAGAACAGTCTCCGATTAATGCGAAATAAAGTCCACCTGGACAGAAGGCCAGTAGACCCTGTACCTGTGCCTATTTATGTGCAAATTTAAAAAGAAACATATAAAGGTTGTGCTGAAAAAGTTGTTGGTATTTTGTTGGTAATTTTAGAAAATATAGCGTGTTTATTGGATTTAATGGAATAATTAATTGCCAGTATTAAGGTGAACTACAGATGCATATTTTACAGAACATTTATCATTACAAAAAAAAAATTACTGATAGTTGTTTATTCTGTTTAAATATGCAATTAAAAATCAAGAAATAAATCTGATAAACAAAGAAAACAATTAGCATTTTTCTAATTGGAATAAATGTACTTAATTATATACTTGTTTACTATATCAATGCATAAAAAATATAATAAAACTGCTATCGGCTAGACATAAGTATTTTGTATGGTATTGAATGTATATAAAATCATGAAAATAGTTGCCAGTAAAGTTTAGCAATGCTTGCCATGTTCTACCAAAATTATTGCTAATAGTAGGAAGTAGTTAGGTGAGAGCATGTTAAAAGGTATTTTTATCATAAATATGTATTATGTGCAATAAGTTTTATAACTTTCAGTTTAACAGTACCTAATATATGAATAAGTAATAAAAGGTTGCTCTTTCAGTCAGATGTTGAGTCGAGTTTTTAAAATATGATTATATTGTTAAAATTCAATTTATGTCTACATAAATTAAACCCTAGTTAACTCTCAGAACTGTTTAATGCAGAAAGTTTGCTTATAATCAATTTTGCATAAACATACAAGCCCATACACACGTTAATTTTTTACTGTGCAGTAATGTGTGTAGAGAAATATTAAAAATTTTATTGATTCCCCAAAAATTGGTTATAATTTTGATTGAGGTTGATACAAATAAAAGTGTTTGTGACGACGGTTTCTAATCCTAGGTGTAAATTCATACTGGTCATGCAAGTGCAGTTCCACTGTTAGGACATTATCTTTCTTTTGTCAAAAATCAGAGAAGTGTAGCGACAGTGGAATTTCAGTTAGACATTCACATTGATATTCCTAGTTTCCCGCCTATTTTATTTTTTGTTGTCATAATACATTTTTTATTTTGTTAAGTAAATTCTTTAATTTTTATATTTGTAATATTTGTTTTTTTTTTTATCAATGTGATATTGTTTTTTTTATTGTTTTAAAGTTTTTTAAATATTATTTATACTTGAAATGTATTTATAACATAGTTTTCAAATAAAGTTTTCATACAATTTTATGGTAATTTTCATTTCCCACCATTTTTCAAATATGCTATAACAATTATGAGAGAAATTGTTAAGCAATAAATCTGAAAGTACAACAAGCATTTAATTATAAGGTAGTAATAAAACTTCACACTTTTTTCACAAAATTATATTTTGTGTAATAACACCTGCTACAAGTATCTTAATTGTTAAAAATATTTACAATATTTAATATTCTACACATTAGTAACAAATAACATTCATAACCTTAGAGGAGCAGATCTTGGAGAATACGCGCCGCGGCCGAGCGGCCTGGGGGCCCGGGCTGCGCGGGCGCAGGCGCTGCGCCGTCCAACATTTGGCAATAAATTAACTGCGATAACACCAACATAATTAAACGAACCTTACAAAAACTAATTAGCAGTAACGTAAAACATTTAAAAGCTATTTCAATGTAAAAATAAGAATACGAAATGTTAAAAAAAAAATTAAATTAAAACCAACCGCTGCCACCACCCGCCGGGAGGGCGCGGGAGGGGGTGCGTTCTGACATCATATACACATACGCTACTTGTAATACAGCCTTCGTAAGTAAAAGCGTTCATTTACAATATCTTACATAGAAATTAAGCATAAGGGAGATGAGGCACTTCAAAGAACAGACGAAACTTATAACGAAAATAATATTAAAACTGTACAGAGTAATGTACACAAACAGGGTCTCGCGTCCGCAAACAGGATATACATATAGGTGCCGAGAGGTCCCAAATAAATTCACATCAATACAATTTGGACATATTCAAGATGATTGCATTCGCAACATAATTCAAACACTTAATACTTAATTGTTTCTTTGGAAATTATTATGATTTCATTGTCTGACCCGCGCGGCGTGCACAAAGAGCTACCAACAAACTGTTTCATAAATACATATTATACAAAATCATCTGTTTAAAAATATAAATTATGCCAAAAACATTTTACAAATGGCAGCTGACAAATTGATCTCAATAAATATTAAATTATTAGTTACACAAATCTGATAATATTTACATTGTATTTTATCAACGGTTTCCACTGGCGAAACAATTACAAAAACATTGATATCTTTACTTTTTATAGAATAAGGATCCAACACGCAGACCAGAGTGAAGATTAGAGATTATTTACTTACATCTTTTGCACACTTGATCATCTTAAAAAATTTGCCAGGTAAAATTAAACCTTGTCTAAATTGTACAAAACCCAATTTTATTCACAATAACATTCCTTTTTACTCTCCACTCTGGTTTATGTAAAGATTATTACAGCCTTACAAACGCGGTATAATGTTAAACTTGGAATAAACTGGGCATAAGCAAATATTATTACAAGTTTTGCTTTATACCACATTTATTTGTAAGGCTGTTAGAGGTATATGTTTTTGTACTGTATCTGCATTGGAAACAAAGACAATAAACATCAAGCCAACAGAATACAACCGAGGATAACCACTTTTCTCTGGTTGATGTTTATTGTACAATCTCTTTGTGTACACAGCGAGGTTCCGCAGGCCTTCTCACTCGGCACTATCACATCAGGTCCTCCGATACAACACTCGTAGTATACTTATTGCACTACACCTTATACTATCCTCATCCAATTACAAACAGTATCAAATACATACGAAATTTTGTACTTTACTCAGCTTCGGGACAATGAATACAGATATGGGTTCTCTCAACACGAGATACAAAAGCTATGTTATTAAATTGTGAAGGACAGTATAAAATAAATAAAAAAACTGACTCAAGTACTTTACCCAATTGATTCATGTTTCCACCAGATTAAGTGTGAGTTATTTTTATTTACTTTATTGAAAGAAGCTGCCAAAATATATAACAGTAATTATTTGTGTAAAACAAGCACACAGTCCATATTGTGATGACCTTATCACTATTATAACAAAATATTCCATCATTTATTTAGATTACAGAGTAAGATGGAAAGTCAGTTTTGTAACAGCAATGCCACAGGACATCCGACAGAGTTGCGCTCAAAGATTCCACATTTTAATATCATATAGTGTTAGTATGGCTTTATATTTTTAGAACTTAAAACTTCATCAGCACAAATGTATCTTATTTCCATAAAATAGTTACATTAGAGTGAAAATTGTCCAAATCAATCCAAGACGGACAAAAATCAACAAATTATTACATATACTACTATAGTTTTTTTAAATATAACAGATACTACAACTAGATGTATTATGACATTGCTGTTATTGTACCAACTTCCTCTAATTGCACAACATGTGATGTTCACAGGACAGACCACACATGGCTCTGCTTGTGTTAAGGCAACCAAATTGGTGTTACATGTTAAATTATGTACAAACTAATTTTAACAGAAGCATTAGATTATTTGTACTATACCTTAAACTATACAATCCATTGTTTTTGGTCAGGTTTGAGTGTCAGCGGGCACTGTCTTGTTTCACTGCACCAATGTTCACTTACACAAATGTCACTGCGCATCCAAACACTACCACAAGAGCCATTAATAAATACTTGAATTGATTTTTTTTTTACATTTAATTAATTCAAAAGCAAATACAATCCATTCCAGTGTTAACAATTTTAAAACTGACCATACTAAATTGTAGCTTAAAAAATGCACTACAATTTAGCATGCTTAGTTTAATAACTGAAAAAATTAAATATATTTTCTTTTATATCATTCATGTGTCATTTCAAGAACAGTACTGTAGTAATTTCACTTACAATCAATAAAATGGTAATGTTCACTTTACATCATAAAAATCATTTATGTACATTGAGAAATTAAAACATATAAGGTAAACCAAATCGAGACAATGAATATTAAGTAACGATAGATGTAGTTATTGTTGGCTCTGCGTGGGGTGTGCGGGTTGCGTGGGGTGCGTGGGGTGCGCGGGGTGCGCGGGGTGCCGCTACCGGCGCATGGTGGAGTTGAGGGACTGCATGGCGAGGGGCGGCGGGGGGTTGATGTACCCCGCGTACGCGTACACGTTGGGCTGCTGCGCGCGGGGCTCCGCGGCGGCGTACTGCACGCCCACCGCGGGCTGCACGTTCATCATCTGCAGGTTGTTGAACTGCTGCTGCGGCGGCACGCGGTACCCGTTCAGCCCGTACTGGCTGATGATGTGCGTGTTGATGTTGGGCGACATACGAGACGTGCCCGCCATCTGCATGTGCTGCATCGGACTCAGGTTGCCTAAAATACATTCTAATTGAAAAAATAGTCATAAAAGTACAAGTATTGATACAGCAACTATACAAGGAGGAAATATATAAATATATTTAAAACTAAAGTAGTAGATTTAAATATAATGTTAGTGACGTACTGGGCGCGTTCCTCGCGTTCCTGGGCGACTCGAGCGGATTATGTGCGGGCGTGTAGTACTTGGCGGCGTGGTAGTGCCCGCCCGGCGGCGTGCCCGACTGCTGCCCGTACTAAACACACAAAATACAGTGCAATCAATACAAATATCTCCATTTTTTAAATTTTTTCTTCGACATGATCTATTTTTCTTAAATAACGTAAAATTCTTATAAAACCTTTCGCTTGAACTTTGTGAATTTCACTTCTAAAATGCGAGTAAATGATTGTTTTTTATGTAGATGCTAGTGTACGTACCTGGGGAGCGTTGGGCGCGGGCGGCGTGTGCGGCGGGTGGTGCTGCGGCGCCTCCGTCATCTGCTGCAGCTTGGTGAGGGAGCAGGAGGGCGCCCACCCGCCGTGGTACTGCTGCTGCTGCTGGAACGACAGGTAGCCGCCCTGGTAGCCGCCGCCCGCGCCGCCCCCGCCCTGCATCGCCCCGCCCCCTACGCCCACCCCCACCCCGCCTGCATATAGCGACGACACGTTAGTGCCCGACACTACTACAAACATACATCATATTAAAATAAAAATAAGTAAACAATAATACACCAATTAATTATATAAAAAGAAAAGAGAGATGGCACACTAGTTAATATAACATTTATTCTGAATTGTTATTCAGAAATACGAGATATGCATTAATAATTTTAAAAAGTACATTATTTTTTTTTTAGGGAACAGGGTATGTGTATTTGTTTAGTATGGTAAACATCGCTCACCGTGCGGCTGGTGCGGCGGCGTGGCGCGGTGCCTCGCGGGCGGCGTGGCGGCGCCGCGCAGCGCCTTGCTGTCCGCGCCCGCGCCGCCCGCGCCGCCCGCACCGCCCGCCGCGCTCTGCGCACCGCTCCTGCAACAAACACCACACACAATCGAATTAACTGTACAACACTGAAATACAGAAGACAAAATGTTTAGTACATGTTGGAGAAACTTACCTATTCCGATTGTTGATCTTCTGCTGCTTGGCGGGCTGGTTGGTCTGCGCCATGATGGAGGGTATGTGTATAGAGGAGTGCGGGTACTGCGGGCTGGGCGCGGGGTGCATGTGCATCATGGAGCAGGGCGAGGCGAGGTCGGAGCCGATGCTGGTGGGCGACTCCAGCCCCAGCTGGCTCACGTCCAGCTCGCACGCGGGGTACTGCACCGAATGTACAGAGTTACTCGTCGAGTCCGGCGTGTACACGCCCATCGACTGCAGTGCCGGGCTCACCGCCTCGCACATCTCTTCCTTGCTCTCTTTGGACGACTCCTCCTTCTTCGATTGATGTCGAGACTTCTTCTCGATCTCCGTCTTCTCCTGAGCGCACGGCCCGTTCTGGTTGAAGGGCGTCTTGCAGCCGGGCGAGGTGAGCACCTGCGAACTCTGCTGTCTGAATTCCGCGCAGCTCGTGGCCACCTCCTGCTGCTTGTTAACCTGCCGCTGCATCATCTGCTTCAGCTGGGCCTCCGCCGCGCTCTGTGCCTGCGCCTGAGACTTCTTCGAGTCGCACTGCGTCTGGCACGCCGCCGTCGCCTTCGACTGCTTGCTCGGCTTGCACTCAGATTTCTGAGCGCACTCCGCTTTCGATGTGGGTATCTTAGTCTCCTTGAAATGCGGCAATGGGGTGGCCCCATAGATCCCACTCGACAGCGCTCCGTATGCGAGATTATGGAAATCTTTCTGATCATATTTTGGAAGTTTTTGAGGAGACTTTTGCATCTGATCTAAATGCGGAAGATTGAAACCCTGAAACTTGTCCAGATAGTTCTTGTCGTTGCCCTTCATGTCCAGAAACCGGTTGGGGTCCCAAGTGCCTTGCAGCCGCGGGTCCCAGGCCGACCACTGGTACTGGGCGTGAGTGGTATGGTAGTTAGGGATTTGATTCATTGTGTAATCAGCTTTCGGAACTAACTCATTGTCATATTTAAATTTTGGTAGCATTTTATTCAAGTCGTTTTGATCCGGTTTTAGATTGAGTTGGACCGGACAACCTTTGTCGTGTTTAGTGGAACTATTCTTCGAATCGCATTTAGCGGCATTCGATTTCTCTTTCTTGAAAAAATCTTGTTTCTTCGGCGTCTCGTTGGCGGGCTTGGCATCAGCTTTGCTAGTGACAGCCACGCTGTTAATAACGTTTATAGGGACTGACGTCTCCGGTTTTCGAGAGTTGACACTCTGCTCTGGAAAAAACATTTTTAGCTCGGGCGTACTTCTAGGGGTCTCGTTTTTAGAAGTTTTCTTATCGGTTTTTTCAAGTTTGCTGTGCGCAGAGTTGACCCTGACATCACGTAACTTGCTTTTCTCCCGCGGCTTCTGATTGTGATCGTTTTTAACATCGTGAGGATTAGCATGTATAATATTCATGGTGGCAGCCATCGGGTTATGCAAATGATTGCTGTTAGCATAACTCGTGTCCAGGTCGGGTCTGTCTAGGCCTAGGTTTACCGCGGCGTTAGCGCTCTGACAACGAGGTAGAAAGTTTATGTCGGTCACATTCGGTATTTTCGGTATGACTGGATTTATTACCGGTGAAGTAATAGGATGAGGCACCTCCAGTTTTGTCGTACATTTGCTTACGATCGGTGTATCAGATATACTACTTATAATACGGTTCTGTTCGAGTATCTTATGCGTGACCTTATCTGTTTGTACCCCTTGTGATTCCTTGGTGACAGTGGGTCTATTGTTTAAATACGAGTTTATAGGTTGAATCGTCATCGAGTTACTAACAGCATTATGGTAAGTCTGCATACTGCTCTCCACGACATTTCTAGATATAACAATTTCATCTTTCCTCATAGTGGTGGTTGTATCACTTCTAAAAGGTAAATCACTCTCCTTACTGATCATTGGAAGCTGTGGCTTGTTTCTCACTTCGAGCTCTGTTATTGGATCCATTTTTGGTGGATCCGGTTTCTTCATTATATCTTTGTTAAGATCCAGATTTTGTACAATCGCTTCTATTTTATTAGGTGACTTTTTCTCTGGTGGTTTAAGTTCCTCAATAACTTGATGTTGAATAACTGTCTCTTTTCGGACATCGCATTTCTTCTGATCGGAAACTGTTTCTTTCTTCTCTTCCTCTGGTTTCTTCTGTTTGCTCTCATTGATAATAGAATCATTTTTCTTCGGTGAAACGTTCGTCGATGGCGAGATAGAATTGTCTGATTCTCCTTCGACAATTATTGTTTCAATGTGATGGATTTTAGGAACAATTAGATCAACAGGTGGTCTATTGTTAGGTACTTCGTTAGGGATTTTAGCATCTATAACGATATGAGAGTTTTCTGTGGAAACAACTGGTAAAACTTTAATTGGACTCGCGCTTTTTTCAACAACTGGAGGTTGAATCTCACTTGTATGAGGTGGAGGTAACAAATTGTTGGGCTTCGGTGAAGGCAACGGACAACTCTGGCTGTTGTTGTCATCAGATTCCGAAATGACTATCGTATCCTTGTCATCGAGCGTTGGTTTCGCCGGCTCAACTATTTCACCGTTTCTGTTTTCTACGGATTTCCTTGCGTCATCCTTTTCACTGGTCACTTCTGTGGTTACTCTATCCTCTGTATTAACATTCCGAACTTCAGGGACATCCTCAGCTTTAGTATTGTCTTCATCGTTAATTTTCTCTAAAGTAGAAGTTTCATTTATAACTTGATCTTTCTCTGCAATGGATTTAGGAGAGTCCATATGAATGCTGTCAAGTTCCATGTCACTGGTGTGGTGGTCTGTGCTGTTCTCTTCCAAGTGTCGCGGCGTGGCAGGCTTGCTGGCCACACTCTGTCTGTCCTCGCCTTCTTCCACGTCCATCTCATCATCGGCCTCTCCCGATGAATCTTCTGAGCTAGCATCAGAGTTCTTGGCTTTATCATCTGGTTTGTCTTCCGCTCGATCTTTATCAGCTTGATCTTGTTTTTCAATTGCTTCAGACAAAATATTGTTTGCTCGTTTTGGAGATTCTTCTGTTTTAGAGTCGACAACTTCGTCGCTATTTTCAGCAACTTTAAGTTTCTTTGCCTCGGGTGAGATACTTCTAGGAGTATTAGTTGTGTTAACTTTTTGTCGCTTGTTTTGTCGGCCTCTCCACGCAATTTTTCTTTTCGTTTTAGCCTTTGTTGTGTTAACAACTGGAATATCATTAATTTCATTTTCCATACTTTCTTGACTCTCCTGGCTGTCAGATACATAAGAAAGTTCTTTGACGCTCCGCCGCCTGCTTCTTTGTATACTGCCAGTGTTGTTAAGTCTGATCTGCGCGGCTCTTGAAGATCTACGAGCAACGCTGTTACTTCTTTGAAATCTTGATGTATCCTCATCCTTACTTTTGTCATCTTCGTTATTACTTTCAGAGATTTTCCTAATAATATCTCGTTTTCTTTTCCGAGCACCATCATTAACAGTGGGAGTGGTTTGATAAGTTGTTTCACTATATTTAAGCGGCCGTGTCCGTCTCCTACCAGACGATGTCACTTCGACCGGTTCCAATTCTTTTTCAGATTTGGTCTTCACTCCAGATTTACTCGTAGTAGCTTCGGATTCTGTTGCAGTTTCTTCGCTTTCCGTTTTCATTTCAGTTTCGTCGTTCTCCGTTTCTTGATCACCCGACCCTTCCTCTGGAGATCTGAATGGATTCACCGTCGGTGCCAATAGAGGAGTCCATCTTAGGCATTCAGGATCGATTTCAAGTCTCGGTCTGCTCCTAACTTTCATTGTGTGATTTTCAACTCTACTCCAGTCGACACAGATACCTAATTTCATCGAGTCATTATCGGGCACGTATCTGACAAAGCCGAGCAACTGGAAAGTAACTCCTATGTCGTTCAGGTGCATCCCTGTCGTCAATGCAATATCCTCAAAAGTGAACGACTTATCTTTGTGATCATACAAATATTCGAGTATTACAGACTTCCAATAAGCATGGTAGGAGACTCTTCCCAAATCCGACAAAGGTTTTTCAGGTGTGCCAGGCTGCCCTTCTTCTTTCGATAGTAAATAACCTGCGGAAAGAAATTAACTATTAAATTTTTTATAAAGAAAAATGAAAAGCATAAAAATAAACTTCTTTGCAGTATAATGAGACATGTGAAAAAAGATTCCACCACTCACTAAAATGGATGAGGAATCTCCCGTAGCCTTGCCGCTGGTACTGCGGCATCGTCATTATACAGGACACGTTGTATTTCTGCTGACAATGCTTCTCTTTTGAAAAATAGCCAACCAAATGGCAACCTTTGCTGTCGTTCTTAGTCAGGACGTAGAAGAGAAAAGGTTCCACGTCGTAGTAGAGCGTCTTGTGGTCCAGAAACAGTTTGGCGAGCAGGCAAAGGTTCTGACAGTAGATCTTGTTGGCATTGCCGTCCACCTCAAAGACGGAGATGTCCCCGCAGCGGTAGATCTCCGTGGCGGGCGGATGCCGCCACAGGCACTTGTCGAGGTGCCGCATCAGCACAGCGCGACTCTTTGCGTACTTCAGGCAGAATTCGCACAGAAATAGTTTTGGTAATCTGAAAAGACATCAACACATATTATTACTAAAAACACCAATAGACGGCGGATTGTAATAAAATTAAAAAGGGGGTTTAATTTGAATAGGTAGGCGACGTACCTCGCATATTCCTGTGGGAAGGGACTGGAGTACCACGTCTCTATCTCCCACTGGCCGAACTCTATGGCGGAGGGGCAGCGCGGCGCGGGGGGCGCGTGATGCGCGTGGGGCGTGTGCGGGGCGTGGGGCGTGGCGGCGGGCGCGTGAGGCGTGTGGGGCGCGTGTGGGGCGGGCGGCGGCGGCGCGGGGTCGGGCTCTGCGGCAGGCGCGGTGCCGGCGCTGAGGCGGGCCTGCGCGAACAGCTCCGCGTCCGCCTCGGTGACGCCGGCCGGCAGCCGCATGCCATCTGGAATTCATAACATCTATTGTTTCAAATGACCACTTGATTTTCTTTGGTTAGCAAAGCAATGATGAAAAAGTAGGGTAATGACAGAGAATAAACCGGACTATGGTGTGCCATTAAATTACTTAGCTTAAAAAAATAAAGACTAAATTAAAAATATGTATATTAAAATTATAAAAATATCAATGTAAAACATTTAGAAGTAGCAACTAAATCAAACTATGAATAAAAGTTATATAAATGTTCGTTTTTCTACAAATTGTAAACTAAACAATGTATAACTTGTCAAAACAAAAAAAAGATATGGACACATAAAAAACCGAATACAACCAAATAGACGTTAAAGATATTACCTACCGGTTGAGGCTTCACCGTAATCGGTTCATGAGAAACACAGAGGAAGGAGGAGGGACAAGACAAGATACGCAGACGTAAGCGAGCGAGC